GAGAGCGAGAGATGAGGAAGAAAGGGAACGAGAGAGAGAGTGAGAGATGAGGGAGAGAGGGAAGAAASGGAGAGGCGAGAGATGAAGGAGAGGGAAGAACGAGAGAGAGCGAGAGATGAGGGAGAGAGAAGAATGGGAGAGAGCGAGAGGGAAGAACTGGAGAGAGAAGAACGGGAGAGAGGGAWSGGGGGAGAAATTGTGATTTCTAATTTAATTTAATTACTTAAGAATCTATGAATAAATTTCTTAAATTATTGAAYGAATTTTGAATGAATATTTATCGATTTATAAAGTGAATAATTTCAAATATTTTGAAATATAATGTGGTTTATCTTATTTATCTAAATAATTATTAATAAAATTTGGTTTAATTTAAATGAAATTATAAACAAAATTAAATCAATAGAAAGTAAATAAATATAATGTTTGGTCAAATTCAAAATGATTAACAAATAACTTAAGAGATTAAAAATTTTTTAATTAAAATTTTGACCATTAGAATTAAGGGAAACAGATTATCAATCTCCTTAATTTTTGTATATTCATATCCAAATTTGAAATTTAAATCAAATTTGTTTARTATTTTTTTCTGTCCTTTAAAATCCCTTTTTAATCTCCTAATTTTAATTATGATTGGATTTTAAATTTAAAATTTAATTCACTTCGATTCACGTGAAAGTATCAAATTTAAAATTTAATTAAAAAAATTATTGGGTGTATCTTTTCCCTATCATTACGAAAACAGAAAAAAAGCGAGAGGAGAGAACTAGAGAGAGAGCAAGAGAGCACCGAAGCGACGTCTGGAAATCGAAATCGCTTCTGAAGCGATGGAAGGTTTGAAAGGGGGTGTTTTTTTGGTAAATTCAAGGTTTGAAAGGGGGTGTTTTTTTCGTAAATTCAAGCTGGAAAAGAGAAGTGAAAGTTCGAAAATATAGGAAGAGAAGAAGGGAGGGAGGGATGAGAGAGAGAACGGGGAGCGAAACATAAAAGGCAAAAGACGTCTAGAAAACATGGATTTTAAAGAGGGTGATTAAAAAACAGTACGGGTCTTATTCAACCCAAAATCCCCTTCTTTTCGTACTTCTTTTTTTTTCTTTTTCTTCTTAATCACAACCACATGTCACACCATCAAAACCCACACATACGGGTCTCGCTACGAGGTGTAAAAACAGATTGCATAGGGAAGTGTTAGCACCTTACGACACCCGTTCGAAAAAAGATCAAYATCTTACAACTATGTCAACACCCTAAGATGTAAACATTGTACTCTTTTAAAAAAACAAAAAGTTTAATTTATATTTTAAACTAAAAAAAACCAACAAATTTTGTTAAATTAAAACAAAAAAAAATAATTTTTTTTATGTATTTTGACATTAAAAAGATTTTTTCAAGAAAATCTTTTATTTCTAATTTTCAAAAAATCAATTTTACTTAAAACAAATTGTTAAGATCTTTTCTAAAATGATACTCATGTTACAAGATAATATTTTATTTTAAAACAAATTCCTAGAAAACAATTTTCTTTAAATCCTCTATTTTTTTAAATCTCTGCAACAGAAATTCTCTTTCTAAAAATAAATAAAAAAATAAGAAAACAAAATTAAGAACTTGAATGGAAATTTTAAACAATCCAATTTATTTTTAAACAAGATTTTAGTTTATAAAAACTCTTATTATTTTTTTTTTAACTTACAAAACTTTAATGCAAAATTTTTTATTTAAATGAAATTAACTTTTTGTTTACTTTATTTAAAAAATTATTTTATTTTACTTTAAGTAAAATTATCATTATTTTTCAAAACTTATTTTAAAAAGTTTATTTCCTTTAAAAGGAAAATTTTTTTTTTTTTGTTAAAAAGAATTTTTTTTATTATTATTAAAAGAAGTGCAGGGGTATACTGTGCAAAGATTTTTACCACGGATGTGTGTTAGAGTGGGTCGCTGGACTYTTCGTCGTCGTCGGTCTATCACCGCAAGATGGTCTCAAGGCAGCAATGGAGGTCATGAGATGTGCACCGGAGTCTTGTTGTGTGTTGGTTCTATTGAACCGCCTTTAGAGACTAAGGGAAAAAATAAAAAAATTTCGTTTCACCCAAATCATTCTTGTGCTCTCTGTTTTTTTTTTCTCTTTCCCTCTGTGTGTTGTGTGCCCTTTAAATATACAAAAAAAAATGYGTGAGTTGAGTAAAACCAGAGAAAAAGGGAAGGGAAAGCGTTCGGTTTTGACAAGGAAAAACGGGAGGAGAAACCAAATGTTTATTTTTAACCAAAATAGAATCTAAATTTTTTAATTCAAAAACCTTTATTTAAAACAAAATTATATAAATAAAATCAAATCTTTTTATTTCTTTTATTTTAATTTTAGATCAAATTCTTTAAAACAAAATCTATTTTTTAAAATTTAATTTAAACTTTAGTTTATAACCAATAATAAAGTAATCCTATAGTATTTAATAAAATAAAAAATAAATAATTAAAAATAAAACTAAAATGAAGCCGGACCAAATACGATGTCTAMAGTGCCCTTCACCATAATTTCCAATTTTCTTCTTAATTTTTTTTTTAATTCCCAAAACCAATAATGTACCAAATSATTAATGTGTCCTTACATTCATCCTATATGCCTCCATGTCCTCTGCAGTTGCGTGCATAAATCCATTATGTTGAGCCACACAAAGAACAAATCTAACTTGCAATTCAAACTTTGCGACCAAACCTATTTGACTAAAGCAAGAAAATATCTCATACCTCGCTCTTCCATCTCACATTGTATTTACGCTTTCTTTCATCCCTCCCCTCCTTTTTTTCCTTTTTTCCTCCTCCGGGAAAAAATTGAAGTCGAAAACACCATTTTTATAACAAATTACAAGGATTTGGAAGAGAAGAGGCTAGGCTAGGCCAGGAGGGGCAATTAATTTTCAATCTAACTAAATCAAATGATAATATTATAACCATTTCATATCATTATTGGGAGAGGCAATTGAATTTCTTACATTCTYGAGAGCTTCAGAAAGTTTCTTCTAGTCGAGGACGAGATCATCTAAAATTTCTCAAGGTTTGAATAGTTGATTACAATTTCTCAGGGTTTGAACAYCGGACTTTCTATTATTTAAGACCAAAAGTACTAAATTTTCATTGACATATCGACATTTTCATATGTTCATGAATTCAACATTTACATCAAGACTCTACCACATGTCGATCAAATAATACGGAACCAGTTCGTTCTTTAAACATTTAAGGAAATATTGCGACTAAATAATATTTACAATASATGTAGGTTAGGTTAGTTAAGAAAATCCTTCGTGGGATCATCATGGTGTGTCTTTTCATCCTATGTGAAAGTCGAAAAACCCAGTTTTATAATAAATTACAAGGCTTTGGAAGAGGCTAGGCTGGGCTAGGAGGCATATTAATTTTCAATCTAACTAAATTAAATGATAATATTATAACCATTTCATATTATTGTTGGGACAGGCAATTGAAATTCTTACAGGACAACTTCACAAAGTTTCCATATTCAATTTTTTAAAAATTATAATGTGGGCTCTATAAATTCCTCACATTTTTTACGTGAGCCACTCTTCTATTTGATATTTAGTTTTTATTTTTCCTCTGTATTTGATATTTAGGTTTTGAAGTGGCATTCATTGATGGAGACAAAAATATGTATAATGACATTAGATCTTGATTTATGGATTGTTAGGACGTATTTCTCATTACTAAATTCTCCAATTTTTACATTTGTTGTTTCAGAAATCTAATCTTTCCGTTCTGATTTCAATTTTCTTTATACATATTTAATACTATATTTTATCTTAAAATTAAAAATTTTCAAAGTCAGGTTTTCTTTTTATTTTTATATTTAATTAAATAATTTTAAAACTTTTTCAAAAAATAATAGTCCAACAATAATTTTGAAGCTTTACCATTGCCTCCTCACATCTTATTTTTTTCCATGGGTGCACGTTAAGAATCCCACGTTGAAAAGAAAAGGGACCTTACATAGTTTATAATAGACATGGATTACTTCTCTCATTGTCATGCTTTTGAGATAGAACCCATGGATATTGATATGGTATCAGAACGAGTATCCGATTAAAAAATGTGAGTTTTAAAACAAATTAATAATTTATATGTTTTCTTTTTACAATAAACCGATAATTATTGATTTCAGTGCAAAAATCAACCCATCACTTTTGTGTTAGATACAAAGAGAAAAAAAAAAAGAGAAAATGTTGATGAGATAAACATAAAAGAGAGAAAATAACCAAATTGCATTTAACATTTTAAATATTTATATAAATATCATGTTTCAAATACGTTAAAATAAAACTACAAAATTTTACGCCGATCTTACTGGTAAGTAAAGACGATAGAAATGGGTATCAACTATCAAAAAAACTGTGGTTTTTGTATTTTTGGGGAAAACAAATTGGGGCCTAAATTATTTAAACTCCACCTTATTTTTCTAATTAGGGTTTAAAATCAACTCTAAACTCAAAAAAAAAAAAAATTAGAACTAGAAATTTGAAGAATTGAAGCAACTTTTTTTTCTTTTTTTTTTTAAAAAATGTTAATTTTAATACTTTATACAATGATAACACTTTACCAAATATATATTGAATTTTAGTTAAACAATATTTATTATTAATTATTCAATTGACCATTGTACTAAATTGACAATATAACTAAAATTATAAATTTAAAATTTTTATATAAAATAATTAATAACTTAAAATAATTTAATTTATGTTATTTATTTTAATTAAATTTAATTAGTTATTAATCAATGTTTAGATTGACAAAAAAATCATATATCTAGAGTAATCGGACAGCATAAACATACAGAAACACAGTTATTTTAATATCAGGCATCTCAATCCCAAACAAATATAGAACCAAACACAATTATCAATTATCTTTGACTCGCAGGCAACTTACTAACTTTTTGAAATTCCAACCAAACGGCCCCTTAGAGAAATCCAGAAATAACATTGTTAAAACAAAGTATTATTGGATAGGCCTAATGAATGATAAATTTTAGAGATACATTTATTGTCAAAAACTTCACAATATCATAGACATATTTTTCCAAAAGTGGATCACCGGATCCTAACATAATGGCTAATACAGCCAATCAAACATGCATTTTCAAAATTGTAACAAAATTGTAACAGACATTTTCTTATCCACTTTGACTCACTCCCCCAATCCACATGCACCCATGAACAAACAAAAATAGACAAGTTCAGCTTGTGATGAAGCAGCTTGCACATGGATATCTTCACCTTTGTCAAATGCATGCACATTGAGTTTCTTGAAATCCAGACCTTGCCCACTGATTCTGTTTTGGTTTAACAAAGATGATCGACATATTAGATTCCTTTTTTTAAATTTAGAGCAAATAGAAACTCTGTGATCCCAGGTTCTGATACTTACTCCATAAAATTTCTCGTTTGGATCAGATCTTCACGCATGGACTGAGTTTTCGGGATCATAATCCACAGAATTGACATCAAGATTTAAAACACATTTTGCTGTATCCTCTTGAATACACAAGTTCCTAAAACGTGAGGAAATAATTTTCAAAAGTTCTCGAAAGAGCCAAGCAGGAGAGACATAAATGGATAAATAAACATAAAAATATTACAAGACATACCTTACAGTTCCCGTGCTTCCACCACCCCTCGTACGAACACGCTTCTCAACTTTTGCAAAGTCCATTTGTTTGCTTTCGTCAACCTTTGCCTCGTCAACCTTCAAATCATCTTCATCACTAACTTCAACATCCTCACTCGGCTTGTTATGTTTCAGAAAATCATCTTCGTGATACAGAAAATAAAATACATTCAAAAGACTAATTATTTCCAGGTATAAATATTCAGCAGAAGTAGCAAACATGTGACAGGATGGATACAACGGCAAAACAAAACAAGGTAATAACTCAAGGTCGATTAAATATTCATCCTAACAAATTGACAGTGAAGTAATTCTTTGGGAAGGGACATAAAAAGAATGTGTTCAGATAGATAGATTTAATACCAGGCCTCTAACAATTCTGCCAGCACGGTCATATTCAACTTGCCTCTCACTCTGTCCCAGTAAAAGTTCCTGAGGCAGATTTTCCTCGGCAGCCACATTCCCATACTTCTCCATAATAGCATCCTTTGTATGTAACTTCAACTTCTCTTTAATAACGTTGTAGTTCTTATATAGAAGTTCAGCTTGTGATGGAGCAACTTGCAGATGGATATCTTGACCATTGTCATATGCTACCAAAGCATGCACATTGAGTTGCTTGAAATCCAAAGCCTGCCCACTGATTCTGTTTTGCTTATCACCCTATTATAACAAAGATGATCGATATATTAGATTCATGCTACATTAATAACTATTACTTTGTTGAAATTTAGAGCAAATAGAAACTTTGTGATCCCATGTTCCGATGCTTGCTCCATAAAATTTCTCATTTGGATCAGCATCAGGAAGAGGATCTTCCCGCATGGACCGAGTTTTGGGATCATAATGCGCTGAATTGACATCAAGATTTAAAAGATATTTTGCTGTATGCTCTCGAATACGCAAGTTCCTAAGATGTGAAGAAATAATTAGCAGCATTCAGAAGTTCTAGAAAAGAGCTAAGCAGGGCAGACATAAATGGATAAACAAACATAAAAACATTACAAGACATACCTTACAGTTCCTGTGCTTCCACCACCCATCGTGCGAATACGCTTCTCAACTTTTGCAAAGTCCATTTGTTTACTTTCGTCAACCTTTGCCTCGTCAATCTTCAAATCATCTTCATCCTCATCTTCATCACTAACTTCAGCAGCATCCTCACTCTGCTTATTATTTTTCCCTTCCAATTCTTTAAGTTGTTGTTCTTTCAAAAATTTTCTCCTTGCTTCATCTCTAGCTTCATAACTCTCAATGACACGACCATAGGTTGCTGGTTCATAACCATTCCAACGATCTCTTTTTCCATCATAATCTAGTTCAAACGTCTCGATCTTCTCATCTGGTGCTATGTGCATGTTTGTCCATTTCGCTGCTTTCTTTCGGGGCCTTTCCATGCATGACTTTGCATCATGTGTCATTGCTCCACAACTGGACAAGCAATAGAATATACGCGACATATAAGTCACAAGGAAGCTAAATTAAATAACAGGATATGCTTGAAAAATATTATAAACGATAGGTGAGAAAGATTAATATAAAGGGAATTTCCACTGCATATATCACCACAAAACCCCTAAACCGAGTTAAGATTATAGCTCCAAACCTATTATACTTTAGACCTGTATTATTACTCCATAATGTAAAGAATACTCATCTCCAATATATTCATTCCATTCCATCCAAAAGCAAAAGCGCATATATATCAACCAAAGTTCATAAATTGATATTCATTTAAAGTTTACAAGTTCAGTGACACCATGACCAATTTAAGCTACATCCTCGTGCATAGAAGGAAATCAAACAACAAAATATCTTAAAAATAATTAAATTTAAAGCCTAACATTCTAGCAAGTGGACTACAAGACATAGAGCAGTCTAAATAACTAGCTTTTTTGGACAAAAAAACACGTGNCTTCAAATCATCTTCATCCTCATCTTCATCACTAACTTCAGCAGCATCCTCACTCTGCTTATTATTTTTCCCTTCCAATTCTTTAAGTTGTTGTTCTTTCAAAAATTTTCTCCTTGCTTCATCTCTAGCTTCATACCTCTCAATGACACGAGCATAGGTTGCTGGATCATAACCATTCCAACGATCTCTTTTTCCATCATAATCTAGTTCAAATGTCTCTATCTTCTAATCTGGTGCTATGTGCATGTTAGTCCATTTCGCTCCTGTCTTTCGGGGCCTTTCCATACATAACTTTGCCTCATGTGTCATTGCTCCACAACTATACAAGCAATAGAATATACGCGACATATAAGTCACAAGGAAGCTAAATTAAATAACAGGATATGCTTGAAAAATATTACAAACAACAGGTGAGAAAGATTAATATAAAGGGAATTTCCACTGCATATATCACCACAAAACCCCTAAACTGAGTTAAGATTATAGTTCCAAACCTATTATACTTTAGACCTGTATTGTCGAGGGAGGTGCACTCCATAATGTAAAGAATACTCATCTCCAATATATTCATTCCATTCCATCCAAAAGCAAAAGCGCATATATATCAACCAAAGTTCATAAATTGACACTGTACAAGTTCAGTGACACCATGACCAATTTAAGCTACATCCTCGTGCATAGAAGGAAATCAAAGAACAAAATATCTTTAAAATAATTAAATTTAAAGCCTAACATTCTAGCAAGTGGACTACAAGACATAGAGCAGTCTAAATAACTAGCTTTTTTGGACAAAAAAACACGTGCCTAGTACATGATCCATTCTCAAACCTTAAAATTGTAAATGAGTTTCTGGTACAGTCACAATCCCATGATTATGAATGAACTATGCACACGTCCATGCCAAGAGCCATAGGCCGAGGAGTACACATAACGGTGAACAAGGAGAGATTCATCCGACTTACTTTTCACATGCACCCTTCYTGTACTTGTCTGCCTGATGTATTTTTGCGCCTCTATCATACCAAGATTTTGTATAATTCGGATCTGATTTCCATTTCCTTTGATGTTTTAAACTCTGGAATAAAATCAAAACAACTTAAATCATCATGAACCAACATAAAATCTAGAAAGTGGGGAAGAGAGAGAAACTTACTGGTCTCTCAGCATTAAGATACCAAGGTGCAGAGGACATATATTGAGGAATATGAGGGTTGATTTCTTTCCCATCTTCATCAACCTCAGCCGGCGCAAGCCCTGCTTTACGTGCTTCCTCCAATTCAAGTTGCTTGCGATGATCCTCCCTAGATTTGAAAGCACCTGCAAAAAAATATTAAGGACATCCAGAATTGGCTTTGGTTCAATAATGCACAAACCACAAAACACGGGCGAACAAGAAAGGTGAGACTATGTTCATAATCCTACATTCCTACGATACGTAATTTTTTAGGTAAAATTGTCGCATTGGAAATAATACCTGATGCAGTAGCCATCTTCAACAGGAACAGAAGGGATATTGGAGAGAAACGCCGAAGTTATCGTGAACCCTAGCCAACGAAGACGAGAAGACGAAGGTCAGTGATATAGTCGTGGCAACGGTTAGCCGTAGGTTATCGAAGAAGAAGTTCGCCGCCGTCAGTTACCGAAGAAGAAGTTCGCCGCCGTCGCCTCAGTGTGCCGTGGGAGTCGCTTGAATAGCTGTCGGTCAAGGAGGAATTGGGGAGATGTTTGCGATTAGGGTTTCGAAATCCAAGATTCTTTTAAGATTTTACTGAGTTTAGATTAGGGTTTCCCACTTTATGCAATTTTAGATTGGGATTTCGGATTATGCCATTTTAAATTGGGATAATGGCACGATTTTAATTAAATATTTAATCATTCCATTTTGTAATTTGAACAGTTTTTTTTTTTAAGATTTTTTCCATTTTTAAATTAGTACTTGATTTTTCAAATTTCAAAATTTTGTAATTGATTCTTTAAATTAAAAAGGTTAAGATTTTTTCATATTAGATTTAAATAAAAAGAAGATTGTGATGTACCATTTATGGAGGAAATCAAAATTGTACAAAATTTTGCTTTTTCTTTAAGAAACATGACTATTTTAGTAATTTTGCAAAAGGGATCAAAAATAAATTAGGGAGGAGTCACGAACCAATTGCAAATTGCAAATTGTAATCTTCAAATTATTCAATTTTAGATTGGGATCATGGAAATTCGATTTTAATTAAATATTTAATCATTCCCTTTTGTAATTTCAACAAATTTTTTTAGAGATTTTTTCAACATTTTTTTAGATTTTTTCATATTAAAATAGTCCTTACATTTTTCAAATTGATATTTTTTGTAATTTGTAATTGATTCTTTAAATTAAAAGGTTAAGATTTTTTCATATTAGATTTAAATTAAAAAATAATTGTGATGTTTAAGGTGAAAGATTTATTGAGGGAATCTAAATTGTAGAGAATTTTACTTTAAAAAAAATATGGATATTTTAGTAATTTTACCAAGGCAAAAGTAAAAAGGGATAAAAAAGAAAGTTACGGAAGCAAATTACAAATTTTAAATTGTCTTCACACTTATGCGCTTTTAAATTGGGATTATGGAAATTCGATTTTAATTAAATATTTAATCATTCCATTTTGTAATTTCAACCAATTTTTTTAGAGACTTTGTCATTTTTTTGTAGATTTTTTCATATTAAAATAGTACTTAGATTTTTCAAATTGAGATTTTTTTCTAATTTGTAATTGATTCTTTAAATTAAAAGTTAAGATTTTTTATTGTGATGTTTAAGGTAAAAGATTTATGGAGGGAATCAAAATGGTAGTGAATTTTACTTTTAAAGAAAACATGGATATTTTAGTAATTTTATAAAGGCAAAAGTAAAATGGATAAAAAAAAGTTACGGCGGAACTCAAACAAATTGCAAATTATAATCTTCATACTTATGCTATTTTAGATTGGGTTTAGAGATTTTTTCATAATAAATTAGTGTTGGAATTTTTTGAATAAAATTATTTTTGTTAAAATTGAATAATCACAACTTTGAACTGGTACGTTTTTTTGTAAACGTTATGTAAAAAAGACGTAACTTTATATATGACTATTTGAATGGCCACAGTTCGGATTTTTAATTTTGTGTTTCCTTAGGTTTTCTATGCATATTTCTCCAACAATTAAAAGAGATTGTGATATTTAATGCGAAAGATTTTGCTGGTAAATTGTAAGGAATTTTGCTATTTTTTAAAGAAATATGGAAATTTTAGTAATTTTCAAGATCTTGATGCATATTTTCCGCGTTTGGTGCCAACAAGCACCTGAAGTTCAGTGATGATGGCGGCAACAAGATTTTGTAGAAAAGTGAGGAGACTGTGTGGCATCAATGAAAAAAAATAAGGAATGGCGATAAAAGAAGAAGGGGATTCAAAGATCATTCCAGTTCCTTTTTTCTTCTTCTTTTTTTTTTTTGAAAAGTCATTCCAGTTAATTCTTTTATTAATTAAGTAAAGCCTTTGAATAATATTAAATTATAAATTTAATCGTGAAACCAATTAATTCTTTTATAATTTTGTCTAATAATTACATGAGGTTAATTATGTTAGTTTAACGAAATGTAAAAAGATAAATACTTAATTTACAACTAGAGACATATTAGAAAATTTTAAAAATACAGAACTAAGTAAATGTAATTCTAAAATTTCAATGACTTAATTGAGG